GTTATATTATATTCTATATATATATATATATATATATATATATATATATATACATATATATACATATATTCAAGATATGTACAGTTAATAATGATAATAGTAAAAAAAATAATAAGTAAATAAATAAATACGTAAATCAATAAATGAATAAAACAAATACTATATGGAATGGAATAAAATGCAAGTAGGCGATTCAAGATTCAAGATTCGATCGCGCATGTTCGGCAATTACTCACCATATATAGAGACCAGAGACTTCTTGAGTGAAGATTTAAAATTTGCAATGGATGGTTTGTTCTTCAAAGAAATCAAGAGAGAATTCCAAAGCTTGGAATTAGTATATAAAGCTGAGTTGCGTCTAAGATTTGTAGTGAAAGCTTCAGTTAAGTAATTATCTGCATCTTTAGTGTTATATGCATGGTTATCAAATTATTTGACAAATAAAGGAGAAATGTGAGGGGGAATAATTAAATTGTGAATACGGTACATAAATAGAGCCGTTTGAAATTTATTAATGTTGTAGATATTCAAAACATTAAACTTAAATAATAAAGGTTTGGTGTGAGATTGAAATGATAAACCATCACAAATTCTTAAGGCTCTCTTTTGTAATTTGAATAGGTGATCAATATGTGTAGTTTTAAAGCTTGTCCATGGACATAAGGTTTCAAATTTACCGATAGTTACGGCCCAAATTAAATTGCAATATGAATTATACGGTAAAACTAATGTATTATATAAATTTATTAGTATATTAGAGGGAAGTGTGTATTTGAGTTTATTCATAATGCCAATGTTTCGTGAAATAATATTACTAATTCTATTAAGTTGAGGTTTCCAAGTTAATTTTTCCTCTATTGTAAAACCAAGTAATTTAGTTTCGTTGACACAAGATATATTATAATTATCCATAAAAATGTGGTCATTAATAGAAGCTTTAATTTTATAATTGAACAGAATATAATTTGTTTTTAAAATATAAAGGGAGAGCTTGTTTAATTTAAACCAATTTGTAACTTTAATAAGCTCATCGTTAATAGTTCGAAATAATGACTCCTTGTTCTTATGTGAGTAAAATATAGTTGTATCATCGGCAAATATAAAATTTTGGATGTGTTGGGTATGTCATTAACATAAATCAAGAATAGTAGGGTCCCAATATGGACCTCTGTGGTACACCACAAATAGTTGTTGATAATGTGGAATTGCATGAGTTAAAAGTAGTAAGTTGCTGTCTGTTGTTAAGGTAGCTTTCAAATAATCCAAATGGAAAGCCCCTGATACCATAATTATTGAGTTTTTTTTTAAAGAATCTTATGGTTTATGGTATCAAAGGCCTTACTTAAATCGTGAAAGATACCAATTGCGAACTCGTTTTTAGCAAGTGCTTCTGTCACTTTGTTATATAAATCAAAGACAGCAAGATCGGTCGAGTATGATTTTCTGAATCCATATTGGTTATTAAAAAGTATGTTATGTTTTGTTAAAAAATTATATAATCTGTTATAAATTAAACGTTCTAACACCTTTGAAAAACAAGGCAGCAGAGAAATGCTCCTATAATTGGAAAAATAATGAGAATTGTCTTTTTTGAAAATAGGGGTGACCTTTGCAATTTTAAGGTCATCAGGAAAGATACCAGTTTGAAAAGAAAGATAGAATAAGTTAAAGGGTTTTGAAATAAGTTGTAACACCCCCTTAATAACTTATATTGGAAAATCCATCTATACCAGGACTTTTTTTTATCTTTCAGGTTTATAATAATATCTATGATTTTGTACTCAGTAATTGGTTTAAGAAAAAAAGAATTGCTAATTAGGTTGGAAAGAAATGATGTGAAATCATTATTTATGTTTGAATCGTATGTTTTCGGCAAGCTTTGATCCAATATTAATGAAATAATCGTTAAATGCATTAGATATTATATAAGGATCAGTTATTTTATTGTTGTTGTTAATAAAGTAAGACGGAAGATTTTTTTGATTTTTTTTCCCAGGGCACCATTGATTGTTTGCCATGTTTTCTGTATATTGTTTTTATATAAATTAAACTTATTATTATAGTAATTTTTACATGAATTTCTTAATACATTGGTTAATTTATTTCTGAATTTTACGTTCTTATTCTTATCTTGTTGTTTACCAGATTTTAAGTAAGTTTTATAAAGTTTATTTCTGTTGTCTATAGATTTTATTATCCCATTGGTTATCCATGGCTTCCTTTCTTTACGGATATTTCGCTTACAACGAGTGATTTTAATATGGGTATCATATAATGTAGTAAATGTATTGTTAAAAGTGTGTAAGCAAGATTCGAGTCATTATTAATATTGAAAATATTTGACCAATCAACATTGGAAAGGTTATTAGCAAAGGTAGATATATTATCATCATTAATTTTTCTAAAATAAATATACTTATGATTATTAAGACAGTGATTGGAATTTATAGGATTATGTGTTATTGAGAATACAGGGAAATGGTCAGAAATGTCTGAATGTATTATACCGGGGGAGATTTTGTCACGGATATTATTGGAGAATATGTTGTCAATTAAGGTTGCTGTCTTAGTTGTAATTCTTGTTCGCCTATGAATTAGTGGATAAAAATTGGATTTATACATTGTGCATAAAAATTCATTAGTTTTATTATGATAATTACATTTTAAGAGATCAATATTAAAATCACCGCAAATGTATGCAATATTATTATCATTATTTATTAAATCCAAAATAGTTGAAATATTATTATTGACGGAACTAGCTTATAGATAACTCGGGTAAACGATAAATGGCACCAAGAATGATATTTTTAGGTTCCGCTTTAATTTCAATAAAAAGTGTTTCAGAGTTAGTGGAAATAATTGAACTAAGATCAGATCGATTAGTATATTGAAATCTCTGGTCTATATATATGGCGACACCCCCGCCCGCTCGCGATTTTTTTTCCGTACGAAACATTTGCATGAAACTTCACTCGGGCCATCTCGGATTGACTCGAGTGAGTACGATACGAGGAACAAGAGCATACACTTCGAAATGTCGTGACGCTCGAGTTTTACTATTATTGCTCTTTCTATGTTTACCTACGGTAGGCCTATGAAATTTCACGGACTTATGTGATGTACGTCACTGTGTAACTAACTAACTGTGACCTTCTTGGATGTTATTAAATGTTAGTATATTATCTACAACAACAACAACAGCTAGTACCTCCTGTTATACAGTGTAGATAGGTACAGTTATACCAAAGGCTAGAGAGAAAGAGGATAAACTATAGGCCTAACTACAGGCTGAGTTCTTACCTAGGCCCCTCCTTAAACTAGGCCTAGGGTCAGGCTGACACAACAGTCACGCTTCACATACTGACATGGACTGAAA